ACCACTGAGCCACTTCTCCAGCCTTATTCTGTATTTAAAATTTTTTTTTATAGTTGTAAATGGACAGCATGCCTTTATTTTTTTATGTGGTACTGATGCTGATGATCAAACCCAGTGCCTCACAYATGCTAGGCAAGTGCTCTGCCCCTGAGCAACAGCTCCTGCCCCTATTCTGTATTTTATTTAGAGACAGGGTGTCACTGAGTTGCTTAGTGCCTAGTTTTTGCTGAGGATGGTTTTGAATTCGAGCTCCTCCTGTCTCAGCCTCCAGAGCTGCTGGGATTACAGGACTTTTTTGTTTTTAAAAATTTCATTTCTCTCAGTGGCTAATCAAGAGGTAGAGGGTGTGAAGAAGGGCAGTAAGGAACATATATGGGTTATGTACCATTTTGCCATCAAGAATCTTTCACAGCCTACCTTTGCATGTTCCTAGGTCATTCCTACAAGTTACCAGAAAATGTTCTGCAGAGTGTTGTGGCTTCTTACAGCAGACCCATCCTTGAGAAAAGAATCTTTAGTGACTGTCATTCTCCCTCAAATCAGACTCAGCTTGTGGGGACTTCTTGTGCCTCTACCTCTGACCTCATCTTCAAATCAAGGCAAGCCAAGTGAATCAAACAGGGAGATATTGCAGAACCCTAGGAAAACAATGCTTTGATGAGAGAAGACATTTGCTCCCCTTTTACTTATTTTTTTCTTCCACCACCCCTGAGCTCCCACAGTGCTCTTGTGAGGATCACCTTCAAAAACTATATGGCTTTTAAAGCTCATGAGCATTGTTCTATCAAATTGTTTTCCCTGGAATCATCTAACTTTTTGTTAGTGGTTTGCTCTCAACTAAATTTAGAGTACCCTGAAGGTAGGGAACAGGTTTATACTTGTGTCTTTCTAAATAGTTACATTGGTTTCTGGCTTATCTTAAGAATCTCAAAACACTAGTTGTTTGAGGGGAATAAATAATTAAAAGATCTCTTTCTCTCTCTTTTTTTTTGTGCTTTACCACCAAATTACACCTCTTTTGTTTTAAAGATAGGATCTTGATAAGTTGCTGAGGGTCTCACCAAATTGCTGAAGCTGGCCTTGATCTTGTGATCCTCCTGAGCAACTAGGATTATAGGCATTGCACCATAGGCTAGGGTATTTTTAGTAAACATTTTTAACAACTTTATTTTTCTTGTATATATGCCATCCTATGACTTTTAGAAATAAATGAATAGGGGCTGGGGATGTGGCTTAAGCGGTAATGTGCTCGAATGRCATGCGTGCGGCCTGGGTTTGATCCTCAGCACCATATACAAACAAAGATGTTGTGTCCACCAAAAACTAAAAAAATAAATATTAAAAATTCTCTCTCTTAAAAAAATGAGACAATAAAGGCAAAAGAATTAAAAAAAGAAATAAATGAATAAATAAATGCAGTTGTGTTTTTAGTAGTTAAGATTTTAACATACATTCAAGAATATAGAACAGAGCTGGGTATGGTGGCCCATGCCTGTAACCCCAGCAACTTGGGAGGTTGAGGAAGAAAGACTGCAAGTTCAAGGCCAGGCTCAGCAGGTTAGGGAGACCCTATTTCAAAAACAGCTGAGAAAAGCCAGGAGCACTGGCATATGCCTGTAATCCCAGAGGCTAGGGAGGCTGAGACAGGAGGATCATGAGTTCAAAGTCAGCCTTAGTAACTTAGTGAGGCCCTAAGCAACTTAGTGAGTTCCTGTCTCAAAATCAAATATAAAAAAGGGCTGGGGATGTGGTTCAGTGGTTAAGCACCCCCTGTGTTCAATTCCTGGTATGTTCCCCCACCCCCAGCAAAAAAACAAACCAAAAAAAAAAAAACAAAAAAGAGTTCAGTTCAATCCCCAGTACCCACTGGTAGCCATCTCTAGCCTGTAGATTTTTACTGATTAACTTTACCTCATCTCTCCTCCCAATAATGGCCTTTTGGAATTAAATTGAGGACATCTCAAGAGTTTTTCATTTAGCAATAGGTTTGAAATCCTGGCTGTCACTTACTAAGGGCCCTTGAACAAATTTCTTGTTCTCAATTATTCATCAGTAAATGGGGATAATAAACCTCACAGCATCCTTGGGAGGATTAGTAAGGTAACAGGTATGTGAAAACACTACCATGATGCTTGGTACACAAGCCAGTCCTCTTGATCCAAATATCATTGACATTCTGGCAAACCCATTTCAGAAGCTAAGACATCTCTTCAGGTCACAAGTGACTAACAAGTTTTGAAAGAACAAATAAGGGCTATAAAGCATTATAAAAATGTGACCCTAAAGGGCTAGGGCTATATGGCTCAGTGGTAGTGCACTTGCCTGGCATGTGTAAGGCACTGGGTTTGATTCTCAGCATTGCGTATAAATAAATTAAAGGTCTATCAATAACTTAAAAAAAAATTTATATATATATATAAAAATGTGAGACCCCAAGCCAAGCATGGTGGCACACTCCTATAGTCCCAGCAGCTTGGGAGGCTGAGGCAGGAGGATCGGAGTTTAAAGCCAGCCTCAGCAACTCTGCGAGACTCCGTCTCTAAATAAAATACAAAATAGAGCTGGGGATGTGGCTCAGTGGTTGAGTGTCCCTGAGTTCAATCCCCTGTAACCCCCGCCCCCACCACCACCAATAAAGTGACCACAGAGCACCTCCATCAGCTGGCCCAACTCTCCATGAATCTTTTTTTTTTTTTTTTTTTTAAGGAGAGTTCCTTGTTTATAGTTAAGCATAATGCAGTTGGGTAGAACCATTACCCCAGTCTCCTTCCTCTTTTGCTTTTACTAATGATTTGTACATTGATAATGTGAAAAGATAGGTGGACAGGCTCTCAAATATTCTTAACTAGTTTAAATAGTAATTAAATTAAAAATCTTGTGGAACAATGCTCATTGCCTACCTCTGAATCACCATGAAAACAGGTTCTTTTTTTCTTTTTGTAGTGCCTAGGACTGGAACCTAGGGCCTTACAAATGCTTGGGAAAAAAAAAAAAAAATGCTTGGCAAGTGCTCTACCACTAAGCTACACCCCTAGCCCCCACATCCTATTTTGAAGCCAGCATTTCAAGACATTTGAAGTTCTTGCTGTGTGATGGTGCATGCCTATTATCTCAGTGACTTGTGAAGCCAGTTGCAGCAACTTAGCAAGGGTTGGGGATGTAGTTTAGTGGAAAAACTCCCTTGGGTTCAATAATCCCCAGTGTGTGTGTGGGGGGGGGGAAGAGTGAAAGAGTGCTGTTTTAAGGACTAAACATCAGAAGCACTCTTAATACATTCTTTCTTCCTTTCACATATATATATTGACAAGGCAGCATTCAGGCTGTCATGGGAAACCGGATATAGCTAGWGTTTGTTGAAATTATCATTAATTGGCTTAAATGCTGGAAACTTAAGATATGTAAACATGCACAGGGTTTGAACATCTTTTGTACATCAAAGGATTTTTCAAGTGCTCTTGTCTGGCTCTAACTTGCATTGCAAACAGTGTAGCACTAGACTAGGAAACAAGGAACGCATTAGTCATATGGGAAATAAGAAGCCAGGATAAGATCAGGCATTCTTATGCTGGAGTACATAACTCAACAATGGCTTCAAGTTTTTGGTTCCTGTGAAGCTATCAAACAAATTTTGTATACAGGCATATCTATTTTTTCTGGAAATAGAGGCTATAGTTTTCTAACATTTCCTAAAGRCCCAGAGCCCCCAGGATAGTTTTAACAATTTACAGACTGGATTACTAAAATATTTTCCCCTAGTTCTATGGTTTGAAAGAAAATAAATGTCCCATTATGAGGTCTAACCTGGATGGGTCTGTCGACTTCATCTGGTTTTTCAAAGCCATCATCAAGTCCTTCCTCTACACCACCACCCCCCCTTCTCAAAAAATATGCCCAAATTGTGCAACATTTTTCACTTTGTATAAACAAGACTATTTTCCCCCAGACAGTATGATTCAACTTGTTTTAATGTAATCTGCTATAAAAATGAATGAAGACTTCTGCATGGTACATTTGGCTTTACAAATATGTTAAAGATTGGTTAATGCTTATATGTTGCACATCATTACAATCTGTTGACCAGTAACAGCTTTTTCAACGTGGGTTAATACCAAAATTGTGAATTGTGGAACTTTTACTTAGCACACACACACACAACCTACGGCAAACTTAAATACTAATCTATAATATCTAACTTGAATTACTGGATCCATTGCAGGATTGTGCTTATTTATCTCAGAAGATAGGCAACTAGCAAAAATACACATTTCTCTTGCATATCCCCAACCCCATATTACACTGTAAAAGAAATACATTATTCAGTGCACTTCCTAAGAAATAAACTTCCTTATAGCATCTCTATATATATCTATCCCAAAACAAAGGAAGAGCACAATGCAACTTTTAAGATTACCATTTAAAGCAAGAGAGGTAATAACTCTGGCACTGTAGCCTTCCATCCTATTTAGAAGGCTCAGCTATTTTATCAACACTGTTCATTTTGGCTATGCAATGGAATAAAGTTTAACATGATAGCTTTGGAAAGTTTAAGATACCCCCTCATCATTTTGATAGATACTCTGGGGCATCAATAGCATTTTCTTCTTTTAATGTATTTGACTTAATCAAATTATTAGCTGTGGAGTCAGTTGTATACTTTGTTGTGATTTATACGTTAATTTTCACAATTGCCTTTCCCCTCTCAACTCAGATTAAGAAACAGAATTAAATTATAGCAGATTATGGGCTGCTGGAGAGGTTGGCTAAGAGAATGTATGTGAACATGAAGGCCTCTTTCTCCCTGTGGATACAAAAATCATATAACCACCATGTCTGAACTGAGAGTGGAGTCCCTGTTTGGAAGACGGGAATAGTCAGATTCTGTGGACTTGGTCAGGAGTATACTAGCCATACAGTTGCAAGTCTTGAGGCTTCTGTCTTCACTATCATGGACATGGCAGTTTCAAGAATGAAAGAGGTTGGAAATTAGCAGCTTGCAAGCTAAATCCAGTTGCAAAAGCGTTTGTTTAACCGGTGGYACTTATACTACTTTTGAGTCAGTTCTTGTTATTTAAAAATGAGAAAGTTTCTCATGAAAACTTGGATTTCATAAAAAAATTGGAAGAGCTGGTAACCTGTGTCTAGCATTCTTACACAGCAGCAAGCAGCTGGAGCTGAATGGGGTGGCCCTTTTAAGTGGGAGTGGGGCACTTCAGTTTGCTACATGTTCCATAGCACCAAGCGGTTTGACATCACTTGAGGGAGTGATCAGTTTCACTCATTCACATGAACAGTTGAGTTCTGTGACACTGGGGTTAGTTCAGCTGTGCCTTTTTATGATGCTGAGGACAGGCTTCATCTGAAATCTCTCCACTTCCCTGTGGATGAGATTCCTCCTTTGATTGGGTCCCAGCCATATTTAATTGCTTTGGTAGGTAATCTTAATATGCAATTCTACTTGTCCTTTATGCTATATTGCAAACTCCAAAGATATAATCATACTAATATTTTTATGTGTTTTTAAGTGTGTGTATGTTAAAATGTAAAGGGGTATGTATCTATACAGATATATGTATATTTCCATCTAGGTAAAAGGTAATTTGGTTCCACAGATACAGACAAGTGCTGGCAGCTTAGAGAATAAATGAAACAATTTGGTAAATCCTGTATAGTTCTGACTTACAATATTAGAAAGAGAGTGAATTTTAAGTTATTGCTTTTTGATTACAGAATAAAGATTTCATTCTGTTGCAAAACTTTTATACAAAATGAGTAACCATTTCCTATTCAAGTAAAAGCAATCAGAAGTTCCTTACACAACAACAGTAGATGCTTGAAGACATTTTTGAATAGAGGTGTGATTTCATTCTATTGAAGAATTTATGCAGGAAATTGGGAACGACTTAATTTTTCAAAAGTGTAAGAAAATCAGCACCCCAACTCTTTAATGCTCAAGAGGGCTTCTCAAGGGCTCTACAAAGCTTTGCTTTATGGAGAGTTCACACCCACCTTTAGAAGGATTCCCATCCTACTTATGCAGCCTTGTTTTCAGAACACAAAGCTTGTATTAAAATTTAAAAAAAAAAACAGTAAAAGAGGATTAAACGCAGTGTTGGTTTTTAACATTCAGAGTTCACAGAGGATCTCTTTCTGCAATTAAATGATCCATTTTGTTTTTGCTGCAGAATCACATTCATATGGCAGTCTTATTTCAGGCACTTTTAAAACATGTTCATCTGGAATAAAAATCTGCATGAACCACTTCTGCATAATTCAAAATGAGTGTTGAGTAATTCTGGTCCCGAAATAAACAGCAGATCACCACCTGGTACTCAATTAACTTTCTTGATCACAACATTAGGGTGATTGCTGAGCTTGAATATTTTTGCAATGTCTTTCTAGCTTCAGTACAAAGATGTAAGCCATACAAATCCAAACTACTCAGTTTCTACTTAAAAAAATACAAAAAGGTAAAATACACTAAATGTATTATACAGATGGTTTCAGCTACTATCAAAATAAATAACATAATCTGACTCAATGGTCTCATTCTGACCTCTTGGACGAAATCTGATGGAATGTCAGATTTGGAGACTCCCTCCTGGGGACTAGCTGCTGGTAGGCAAAAGTATCTCAACGTCCTTGCCATTGGCCACCACAGCATTGGAAGAGCAGCTGCTGGCAAGGTCTTCTGTGGTGGTCAAAGAGGATGCCTGGGAATGCGTTTTGGTCAGTGGAGTTGCAGCAGACGGAGAAGGGGTGAGGCCAGGTTTTTTGGGTGGGATAGGTGGAGGGTTTCCTCTCTCAGCTCTGGGGATGGTAGGGGACTTGATTCCTGGAGACAGGGGGCTCAGAGGACTGGATACTTTCCCCGGAGTAGGTGAATGGCTGGTGTCACTTCTTGGGTTGGCAGTGTTGGCCAGATTTCGATAGTCTGTGCCAAAAGGAGAACTGTTGGGAGAGACGGGCTTGATTGGCCCTTGTTGGCTAGTGAATCTGGAGAGCACCTGAGTGACTGTGTTTCGGGCCAGCTGTTTGGCAGCAGAGTTATCTAAGAGGGTGGGGGATAGATCCCTGGATGGAGGGCTCTGTAGACCACTGGCTTGTTGGTCCTGGTCTGCTTGGGACTGAAATTTGTGCCGGGCTGCATGGAACCTCTGGTTGATCCCTACCTGGTAGGATGACTGGTAGCCGGGACTGCTAGCTGACGACCCCAATAACCGTTTAGTGAGTACTGGTGAAGAGCAAGGAGAGGATGTTAGAGAGGAGGAGGCAGTGCTGCTGGGAGACAGTGAGCTGCCACTGGAAGGGAGGTGACTGGGCATTGGGGCTGGAGTCTCAGTTCCTATAGGACACCCACCATTTTCCACTAGTTTCTCTTGGGTCAGTGCTATAGATTTCTCTCGYGGAGGCACTTGGTTTTCTACACTGCTGCCTGCTGTCAACTCCCTGGTRGTTTGGATCTCTGGGTCACAATGGCCATTGGTTTTTGCATAAGAGTAAGGAGGAGTGGTGGGACCTGGCAGCCCCGCGTTTGTTGGTTTGGTTATGATGCTTCCATGGATTCTTTCTGCCTGAACACTCTCTGTTTGGCAAAATACAGACACTAGCATGGGAGGCTCCGTTGCTGTGCCTTTGGACATAGTTACTGGTTTCGTCAATTGCTCATCACTGATACTGTGCTGGTGGGAAGCCTCTAGGTCCTTCACTATCTTCTTTAAACTTTCCATCTCTTCTTTCAGAGTTTTGGTCCGGTTCTCTTCTCGGTTCAGTTTTGCTCTCAGTTGTTCCCTTTCAATATCAAACTCAGACAGTTGCTTCTCCACCTGGGCCTCAGTCTGCAAGCCTCGCTTCCTCTCTGCTGCTAACTCCTCCTCCAGTTTACTCACCCGGCTCTTCTCTTTCTCCAATTTCAGGCTCAGCTCTCCGGCCTTCTGCCCTTCCTCGGCAGCCTTATTGGTGGCTTTCTTGCACTCAAGCACCAACATGGATGAGAGTTGCTTGTGGCGGGAGCGCTCCTCTTCCAGCTGACTAGAGAGCTTCTTTTGCTCTTTTTCAAACTTTTTTACTTGGGATTTTTCAAATTCCAACTAGAAAAAAATGCCACCACATATCTTGATTAGAGTATGAAAACAGTATCTCTAAGTAGAGTGCCCTGGCTGCCTATTCCCTGGTGCAGGGTTACTATGAATGCACACACTGTGATTTCATCTTTGATAATTTAGGGGGCACTTCTAGCTCTTAATTATTTCAGGGTCATTAGTGAGAATTTAATGATTCCTTATGTTTCAGGTGTGTAGAATACATAGAACCCCTCAAAACAAAACAGAAAACTATTAAGCCAGATTTTGTGGTGAATACACAACACAACTTTCAAATTTCAACAGTAATTTTCTCTGGTTTTAAAAATGAACCAACATAAATGACTGCATTTGAATCATACTTYTCATAGAAATGTAGTCTGTTTTGTCTTCCCAACTTTATTTACTGCACAGAGTGAATGAGAGGAAATGGTTGGAGGAATCTTTTCAGTGAGTATTTTTCAAACTCTAAAACTCATTAATGGGTAGAAAAACCAATTCAGTCAAACATGATGAGAATTAAAAAAGAGGGCTAGGGCTGGGGCTGTGGCTCAGCAGTAGTGCATTTGCCTGGCATGTGTGAGGCACTGGGTTCGATTCTCAGCACCACATATAAATAAATAAAATAAAGGTCTATCAACAACTAAAAAAAAAATTTAAAAATAATAATAATAAAGAGAAAAGGCCAGCCTAGGCAACATAGTGAGACCCTGTCTCAAAATAAAAAGGGCTGGGATTTTGACTCAGTAGTAGAGTGCTTCTGGGTTCAATCCCCAGTACTATAAAAATAAATAAAAAATAATTAATTAAATAAATAAAAGGATTTTATAAAAGTATAGATTTACTAAATATGGAATACTACTCTATACTGTTCTTGAAACACAGTGTAATTCTGCATCCTMAATGTTCTAACAAATTAAAAGTTAGAAACTTGTTTAATTATGTATAATCCAGTAGTTTCCTGACTTGACCACAAAGTCCTGTTTTTGAGCAACACCAACTTATATCCTTCAGGATAACCCATGAGGAATGCTATTGTAGGCTGCTGTGATCCCCTCCATCTTAATTACCTGCTGAGTCAGCCGCTCTCTCTCCTTTTCCAGCATGTAGGTGACATCATCTCCTTCAGCAGTGTCCTGTGCATGCCTCTGCCTTTCTTCTTCTAGGTCTAGGATTACCTTTAACAATTTTAAAAAAATTCATTTCCAAATATCAAGGATTCACACTTATAATACTAAGTGCCTAACTAAACACTGGAGATAATTCCAGAGGTTAAATAAATACATAAATAAATAAAATCCAGCCAGGGCCATCAAGGAGCACACTGTCTAGTGGTGTGAGACATGTCAACTATGTGCTACAGAACAAGATATTTACTTTACCTGAAGTAGATACAGAATGGTATATAAACACAAGAGAGCAAATAATAAGCTATAGGAGTCCAGAGGGTTTCTGAGAGTTCACAGAAAGTCTGAGAAGTTTCAGGCAGGTGTGGTCAGGGGCCAGTGCGAGACAGCACCACAGAAAGCTCTACCTGAAGTTCTCCTCTGAATCCTCAAATGAATGAAGGACCAAAAAGGAAGCCTGAAACTGAACATTTTAAAGAGGCAACATCCAAATTGTGTCACGCATCATTAACAACACATTTTTATATAGGTAGATAAAAGGTGAAAAGATTTTCTTGACTTCGTCCTGCATGTAAAAAGACTTGGGTTACTGGGATCACAAGTGGAGATTTCTTAAGTCTTTTAATTAACTTGCCTCCTCATATTCTATTTATCCTCGTGCYAAAGGATGAAACCCATTTAAAGGGACAAATTTAAAGGGACATTTTCTGCGTGATCCTGCTGATAAGTGCACATTATACTGAATGGAAATGGATTATTCAGTAACATCTGCTCAATGCCTTGGACGTGCCTTGGCCCAGATCTTCATGGCAGAGCACTGTCATCCCAATGGCCATTTCTTCTCATAATTTTTTTTTTTTTATGAAGGAAGAGAGAAAATATTTTGAGATATGAAACTCTTTTTAAAAATGAAAATATTCTGGAGTACTTCCTTCTGGTTAAAAGCATCAAAAAAAAATTTTTTTTTTTTTTTTTTGGTACTGGGGACTGAATTCAGGGGCACTCATCCCCAGGCCTATTGTATTTTTTGCTGAGGCTGACTTTGAACTCTCGATCCTCCTGCCTCAGCCTCCCTAACTGCTGGGATTACGTCAGATTATTAAATTTAATACAAAGGCAGACTTTTTGCCAAATGTGGTAAGACGTCTCCTTTCCCTTCTGAGAGCTCTCCAAAATTGCAGAAATTGAATGAAAAAACTAAAATCCCAAAGAGATACAGACTTTGATAAGATCCTCCATCTCCATATTAGGGACTGAATCTAAGTGTGCTCTACCATTAAGCCATATCCCAGCACTTTTTCTTCATTTTGAGATAGGGTTAGCCTTAACTTTCGATCCTCCTGCCTCAGTCTCCCCAGTAGCTGGGATTATAGATGTGTGCCACCATGCTGGTGGAAATTTGAATTATTTCAAATTTCTTCTATCTTRTTATCTAGAGCTGCAAATTATCCCAACATTGCATCTTCCATGGGCATGACATCTACCTAGCTCCTTTAGCACAACTTAATCACTTCATGTATGAAGAGGAAATAAAGCCTGCCAACCAATCAAAAATGTGGTGAAGATTTTCTTAAAAGATTTTAAGTAAAGCCCACCCCTCCAATTTAGGCAACTTACTCCAACCCAAAACCTTTTTAAGTTGGGCATAAATGTTTTCAGATTACTTCATTCTAGAGCAAAAGTTAAACTTTTTGGTTTTGGGCAACTCTGAGAATTTGATTAAAGTTATGGGAAAATATATTTCCTACAAAAATGCATAAACTTTTGACATTCTGCATATTTTCTGGGGGCCTGGGGAACATGTAAGGCCCCTCCATAGTTAAGAGCCTTTCATTTATTAGATTTATGAGATTTATGAAGAGAAAGAAAAGATCACAGGCAAGACCCAGAATTGAAAGCAAGTCATCAGACATGATTTAAGCAGGTGGCTTGAATGGAGGTAAATCATAAAAGTAAACTCAAATCTACCCAATTTTATAGCTGCTAACCTAATTTTTCCAATTAAAATGTTTCCTACAAAATGGACCAATACCCACAAGTATAAATCTGATAGCTGAAAAAAATCCAGATTCTAGCCAAGCATCTTTTACAAGTAAAATCTGAAGAGTAAATGACAAGCTGGGGAATAAATTCACAAGCACCAGCATTCCAATAAGATGAGATAGWGGAAAGCACAGGTTACACCTTCCTAATGTAGAAACTATCAGATATGGACACACAAACACACCTCTCTGAGTCTTAACAGTGTAAAAGAACATTAAGGTAAACAACCCTATGGACTGTTTATRTTTTCATGAGCAATAAGATGCAATGAAACTCAAAACTAGAAATAAATGAAAATAGTCTATCGGCTTATGTGTTTATAGTGAGGTAAATTCTCCCTCTGAGATACAGCATTCCCTAAATACCTGTTAATCTTTTAAAAAAATATTAATTTTTTTTTGTAGTTGGAAACAATACCTTTATTTTATTTATTTTTATGTGGTGCTGAGGATTGAACCCAAAGCCTCGCACATGCTAGGCAAGCGCTCTACCGCTGAGCCCCAGCCCCAGCCCCAGCCCAATATCTGTTACTCTTTGTATTTATCACTTAAGTAAGCAAATACAGAATATTCTGCTCGGCTACAAGCTTGATTAAACTCCAGTTTGTTGCCAAARTTTGGCTGAAAAAACATACCAAATCTTCTGGAGTGACATACCAAGAAGGAATGTTACCTTAAATAATGTGCCTGGCACATTCCCTAAATTTACCACTTGGAATAACCTCTGTTTTCTTTTCTATCTCCTGGCTCCTACATAAGCTAAGGAACTTTTGTCTACCCACAACCACTGAACTGTTGTGAAAACTGGCAGCTGACAAGATGATATCAGGTATGGTTTATAGTCTTCACAAGGATTTGTGCAGCATACATCTACCAGACTGAACCTACCTTTCKGTGCCTGCTCTCGGCAGCAGCCAGCTGGGACAGCATGCGTTCCTGCATGTTCTTGCACTGCTTCATCACCACCTTAAGAATAGAGAGTGGGTTTGTGCACACTGGCTGCTTATCACTATCATTTTTCTCCTTCAGTGTTTCAAAATCTCTCTGTAGAGCCATCAAAGGATCACTGATATTATATTTTCCATAGCGTTCTTCAATGAAAGTATCTCTGTGTTGGGCCTGGGAAAGAGAAAAATAAATAAGTATTTTGCATTTTAATTCTATTGAGGAGGGGAATCTGCTATCTAGTAGTTATACATTAAAAGTGGTAGTGTTAGTGTAAATGTAACCTGCTGGTTGCAAATCAGATTGAGCCATCCAAATATAAAAGAAATAGCATCAGAAAAGTGATGTGATATAATATTAACAAGCACAAATACTCATATAGAGCTAATTATGTATTAGACGTTGTTCTAAGCATTTATAGTTATGTCGACTTAATATTTACAACCCTATAAGATAATGCTAACCATCTCCACTTTGCATAATGGGAAAACTATTACAGAGAGACTAAATAACTGTTCCAGGTTACTCATCCAGCTGTCAGAACTGGGTCTTGACCAAGGCTGCCTGGCTTCAAAGTCTGTGTCCTTCACCACCAGGCTTTTTGTCTCTGCTTACGTCCACATCTATTACCAACAGGTCTATCTTTTCTTTCTGTTATGCCATGTGCATTTCTAAAGTATTAAGCATGATAATTTTATGAATTTACATAGTTAGTAATTCAACAAGGTACCAGTAGATATGTAAAGGATGCTAAAAATAAGTATGATCACACTATAATCTAGAACTACTTGTGATTTGTACACATGGAACTTCACTTCGCTGTTGATGGGTGCCAGGCACTCACACCAAGAGGCGCAGACAAAATCCTTCTACCTGCTGCCAAATCCAACCCCCTCTTTTAGTTTCTGTTCAGATGCTATCTTCCATCTTCCCTTCTGTCCCCTTCAGGGCTTGGTGAATTTGGGGATGAAAGAGAAGATAAAAAGGAGATGAAGGGTGGTACCTAGAATCTGGTTCAAGGATTTGGGCCTGGGTGCCACACCAGGTGTCTAAGGATCAGGAGATGGCTGGAAAGATATTCTTAGGCTTCTCTTTTTTCTTATCTCTTCTAGAAAGAGCTTGCAGTACTACTTCATAGGAGCACCATATAGCATACACAGACCAAAAGAGTGACATCAGTGATTATTACACAACAAAGTACTAAATGACAAACTTTTACATTAAGTCTAATTATGAAAACCCACTGTCATTTATCCATTTTGAAAAACTATTTTGCCAGGTGTGGTGGTGCATGCCTATAATCTCAGTAACTTGGGAGGCTAAAGCAGGAGGATTCCAAGTTCAAAGACAGTCTGAACAATTTAGCAACTTAGCAAGATCCTGTAACAAAACAAAAAATAAAACGTGCCGGGGATGTGGATCAGTGGTTAAGCACCCCTGGGCTCAATTCCTGGTACCAAACAGGAGAAAAGAATCCTTAAAAAAAAAAAAAAATTCATCAGTTGTTATGGTTTCTTAGTAGAGCAGTCCACAAATAGGAGCCCATTAAAAAAGGGGAGATATTCAAAATTCAATGGCTATGCTTTTATTTAAAACAACCCTCAATTAATCCTCCCCTTCCCCCTCCCCTGGTAGCATGTATCAATCAGCATCCTTAAATCAGAGAGATTATTCGGCATTTGATTTTTTAGGATTGGCTAATTTCACTTAGCATTATATTCTCCAGCTCCAACCATTTACCTGCAAATGCCATGATTTTATTCTCTTTTAATGCTGAGTAATATTCCATTGTGTATATATACCACATTGTCTTTGGGGAAGGGAGGGGGCATAGGGGTATGAAAGATGGTGGAATGCGATAGTCATCATTATCCTAAGTACATGTATGAAGACAAGAAGGATGTGACTCTACTTTGTGTACAACCAGAGATATGACATAGAGCACAATACAGTGCTCTATATGTGTAATATGAATTGTAATGCATTTTGTTGTCATATACAACAAATTAAAATGAAAAAAAGAATTTAGACACACTGAACACTGTATGCAAAAATGGATTCTGAAACATTAAAGAAAATCCAAAAATAAGTGAGGCTATTGGTTGTTTTCTGATAAAGATGATAATTTAAAAAAAAAAAAGATTGAGCTTTTATTAAAAAAAAAAGAACCCTCAAGAAAATAAAGCAAACCCAGGATTTCCTTAACACAGAAGTATAGTTTCAGTGCTGAAAATGTGACATCTTCTTTTTTGTTGACTGTGCAAGTTAAAGTCTCAGGAATCACTTAGTCTTATAGGAACACAAATTTGTTCCTATCAGATGGCAAATGTTCAAAGCAGAGTCAGAAGCCCTGGGCTTTATTTCTGGTCTGACTATAACCATCTTAAGTTACATTACTGGAATATTTGGATGGTATTTGTACACTAGAAATACAGAGAAATCCATTTCCTTTTTTTTTTTTTTTCAGTGCTGGTGAATGACCCCAGGGGTTTTGCTCATGCTAGGCAAGGGCTCTACCACTGAGCTATGCYCCTAGCCCCTGTTTCTTTAAGTTACTAATAACTATTTTTCTAAACTTATTTCATTGGGGGGGGGATTCTATTTTTTTTTCAGATCCAAATTAAAAAAATTCTCAGTAAAATTTTAAAATAATCTCTTTAGGATGGAAGAAAAAAAAAGGACCAATTTCTAGCTGGGCATGGTTGTGCATGCCTATAATCCTAGCAACTTGGAAGGCTGAGGCAGAAGGATGGCAAGTTCTGGGTCAGCCTCAGCACATTATTGAGACCCGATCTCAAAATAAACAAAAAGGGCTGGGGATGTGGCTCAGTGGTTCAATCCCCAGTACCAAAAACAACAGCAATAACAACCACAAAAATAAATGATTCCCAAGCCAGCCATTTTATTATTAATTTATATCACAGTAAAAGTAAAACTTAACACAAGTTATATTTTTAAAAGCAATGATATCCAATAACAACACGGGACTCATGACTGTTTTTCTTTTACCAAGAATATGTTTCTTTAAATTCAGGTATAAAAACATGAGACTAATATCCTAGGATTCAATGAAGATATCTATTTGTACTTATTAAAGGCAAATCCATATTTAGCAAAATGCTTTGACAAAGGAAACAGGAGAAAAAGTCACTCTAAGCAGTGAAATACCTCTTTTCTTACTCATGACAACCATTTCTATAGAGTATTAATAAAAGGAGAATTCTTGATAGTGAAATTGGTTTAGTAGGGTAAAAAAGGAAACAGAAAAGAAATGGGATGGGAGAGGCAGGAGCTGGGACTGCAACTCATGACCTTGACACTGGATCTGCTGAGAAGCCGTCTCTCAGGTTTGAGTATATGGTTAACTAATCCTAAAAATATGACTTTTAAAAACCTACACTGTGATTATCCTGTATAATTAATAAGCATCAAAGTCACAAGTAATACACAAGAAGCTCCTTTAGTGAGGGCTCAGCCTGAGAACAGTTGTTAGGCTGTCTGTTTTCTCTTGAAGTACTTCATAGTAATTCCATAGTCACTAGTACAGTAATTACAAGTTATACAAAATAAATGGCTTCAYTATAAATGAAAAGGATCTGTGGAATAATTTTGAAAAGGCTCCTCGTCAAGCAGTTCATTTAAGTACATTCTAATATGGGGCCAAATAAAGGAATGATGAATTCGGTCTGTACTTATTATGTCAAATACCTACAAAATGGGAGATGGAATATGGTATTTTTAACTAATTCAATGATTTGATCAGGTGACTTACAGGATTACAGGCTTAACATTACAAATAACAACAAAAAACAGATGTTAAAATTTGAAGAATAAAAAGAGCCTTAATGGTGGTCTATAGTGGTTATCTATTACTGCATAAATAATTACCCTAAAATTCAGCAGCTTAAAAAACATTTTAATCTCATCTGGTTTCTGAGGGTAAGGAATATGGAAGGGCTTAGGCTAAGTGGTTTAGGCTCAGGGTCTCATGAGGCTGCAGTCATCTGAAGCCATGATTGGGGCTGGTAGATCCATTTCTAAGCTTACTCACTTGGCATAGGACTTTGTTCCTTGCAAATGTGAGCTTCCTACAGAGCAAGTAACCCAAGAGACAGAGGGAGAGAGCACAAGCATACAAGCAACCAAGATGACTATCTCAGTGACTTTATAACCCAATCTTAGAAGTAATATACTATCACTTCGGATGTATTCTGTTGGTATGTATGGGAGGGGACTATGCCAGGGTATGATTTCAGGAGTATCCTTGGGGGTTATCTTAGAAGCTGGCCATCACAAGGCAAATGACTAGATATGCCACCACTATTATTTATTTATCAGATTAAAATTTAAAGACCTATACTTTAAAAACCGTCAAAGCTGAGTTTTAATAATTTAATGATATTTCAGCTACTTTATGAGAAATTTTACATGATTTTGGGCTTGAGTTTTTGGAAGGAGTTAGTAATAAAGTTAAAATAAATAAATTTCTTGCAATTTCATTATTTTTACTTCAATGACAGTGTACACTTTGCGAAACAGAAATTCCTAAATTGTCAGAAAATATGATCAAAACATGATCGTCTTTAATTTCAGAGTTTAGGAAAATAACTGGCAGGCTAGACAGATGTGATAATAGAGGGTATTATCACAACAGACAAAACACACTAGTCATCTATTACTCATTTATTTTTACTGTCACAGCCTAAATGAAACACAGCACTACTGAAAGCTTAAAATAAAATCACATACTATCCTTGGAATTTTCCATACTTGGTCTTAAAAAGTTTCAGCTGTTTTATTACTATCTTCAAAAATAARTAAAAGTAGACCTCTTCCCCTCTTCCTAATATAATTTGTACATAGTGCATCATGTGCATATTGCAGTTTTAATCTAGGAAATCAATCTCTTTATTCTTCAGATGATCATTTCCTATATGAAAAGTTGATCCAAATCTAAAGGTGAAGATTTAAGAATCACTTTATTGGGGGCTTATATTACAGAGCAAAGCTTTATTTTAAAAACTGAGGCTAGTACCAGAAATGGATTAAGAGGCACCTTTGCCATTTATAAGATAATTATGAAGTGATAATTTAGAAATAATAAATAAGAAATAATAACTAACAAAAATATTAATAGCGTGGGCCTTTAAAAAATGTGAATGCTAGCCGGGTGT